ATCTTCTTCCCCTCTTCGTCTTTTAAAAATTGAACCTTTTTTTAGCAAGATTTGCAATTCATCGAGCATGGGTTCTTTGTCAAACTCTAAATCTTCTGTGCAATTACCATATTTTGAGGATATTTAGTGTTTTATTTCATTTTCCAGCTTTTATCATCTTCTTCCCCTCTTTGTCCTTTCAAAAATTGAACTCTTTATTATCAAGCATGGCTTCTTGATTGATCCTGGACGCTATTTTTGGTCTCTGTATTGTTTAGTTTCATTTGATAAGTTTGCATATGGAAGAAATTATTGTTTTCTGATGGTTAATTTGCATTTGATTTAGTTGCATTTGTTGCTCAATTCGATCTAGATCTATGTTAAGAAGACAAAAATGGCTCATATCTGTTGGTTTCAAGGGGTCTTTTGGGTTGCATTTCTAGAGAAGATCTGTTCTTTCTGTGATTTTAATTGGCATTATATTTTTGTATTGGATCTAGTAATTTTCTGGTGGATCTTGATGTTGGTTTTGCCATGGTTAATTACTTGTTTATGGGGGGAAATGGGGATGGGAACTAGAGCTTTTAAATCAATTTGATGCACATAAAAGAAGCAATTTTTTTAACACCAAATGATATGTAGAGTATTTTATCACATTGAATTTCTGATGGCTCAACCCTTAGATCTGCTGTTTTTTTTTTTTTTTTGTCTATTATATTTATGATTTCTGTTTTCTTTTGTTAGAGTTTTAGAGCTTATTTTGGGTTGTTGATTTGTCAGTGCTGTTGTATACTTTTTCATATTTATTAAGGTTGGTTGATGCACAAAATTACTGCCTCTTGCTTTAATTTTGAATAATTTCTGTATCTTCTTAAATTTGTAGAAATGCTTTTGCCAATAATTTCAGTATATTGGGCACACTGAAGAGCCTGCTGAGAACGCCCAGGGAGTTCCACTTTCGGGATTTGAAGATGGTGACAAACAACTTTGACCGGAAGCTGGGTCAGGGAGGATACGGGGTAGTCTATAGAGGGGTGCTGGAGAAGGAGAATCTGGAAATTGCCATGAAGAAATTCTCGAGAGATAGTATGCAAGGCAAAGATGATTTCTTGGCGGAGCTAACCATCCCATTTTCCCATTTTCCCATTTTC